CCTGAAAACATGGAATAATAACACATAAAAAGCAGACTATGTCCTATAACTATCATAATTTTTCTGGCTTTCTAACTATGCAATAATAGGCCATTAAAAATTCATCTAAACTTGTTGATGTGTTTTCCATGGAAATAAAGTTTGAACTGGAAGCAAAATAGATAACTCTTTGTACAGAAATAATGTAATATAATACATCATTTAATAGATTATGTTGGCTTTACATTGGTTATCAATAATATTGTACAAAATGTCTGAAAAACTATTGGCAATTTGTTAAAGAGAATGTGACAGGTGGGCATGGCAAGTGGGTCTGATTTTCTAGCTCAAGGTTTCATAAACAAATTAGATTGAAGACTATAAAAGTTATGCTTTGCCTGAGCAATATGTGTAATCTATAATAATAAAAGGGTGGGTCTGTGTATGACCTCCATAACTCTAAGAGGAAAGAACTTAGAAACCTGAAATTTTGCACACATACTAAGTGGATCCCAAGGGTGTGTACCTGGGTATTATTACTTATCCACGTGTATGCGTACATGCATCTTTTTCTGAGGCAAGCTAGCAAAAAAAACACATAGAAAAGAAGTGTGACTACCATAGCACCAAGAAGAAAGAACCTAAAAACCTGAAATTTTGCACCCATACTAAGTGGACCTTGAGGGTGTGCACCTGGGTGTTACTTATCTTATCCATGGGCATATCTTTTTAATGAGGCAAGCTAGTGAAAAACCACATGGAAAAGAGATGGTTTCTTATATAACAACTTCTAATATATAGAAAAGCCAGGGAATTTTGGTAACAATGTGTTCCAACAATGTCTTTTATGACATGCTGATTAGCAATAATGTTGTTACTCTCTGTACTGAAAGTATAAAATGAAATGTATAAACTGCAAAATTGAAAAAATATTTGTTAATTTCTTAATTTAGAGTCTCCGGTGATTAAATTCAGAAATTATCTAAGTTTAAATTAGATCAACATTTTAACTTGCATGATAAATTTCATGAACTTGGCTCTAGGCTAGATTATCTAACACTATGTCTTTTCTTTAGGCTTATTTATTAATTTATTTAAATCATACCAACATTCACTACACTTACAAGGTCCCCTTGCACCCCTGTCTGTCACTAAAATCATAATGGGCAGATTATTCTATCTCAATAAATGTATTTTGGCTTTATGACTCCTCTTATTTTGAGAAATCAAGCATGACATGATACAATACACACTGGCTTTTATACAGGTTAGATAACGTGATGTATAATGGTATCTATAATAATTTTATCATTATCATACCTTTACGACTTCAATGTTTCTGGGACAAAAAAAAAAAAAAAAAAAATTGTTTAAAATACTTTTGATTGTTCTTTTATGCTAAAATGGGTTCAGAATATACACACACTGACATAGTCATCTAGAATATATCAACCTAATAACCTGAGCGAAGCTGGGCATTTTTCGCTAGTATAGGTAATTTACATTAAATTCTATACTTCTTGGAGGGATGGTAGATAAATTAGGGAAGCCGTAGAGAGCAAATGTCACAGTTCTCATACTAGGGGAGATTGAATATATTTTGAAATATTTCCTTATAAAATCAAGAAATTAAAACTTAAATAATATTAAAATTTGATTCATTATCTACGTTTTGGTGCCAAGTTTATCCATATAAATTGATAATAATGTAGTTTCATTAAATTTTGAATGTAACTCTGTAAAAGATTGTGACATGCACATATTGACCTACACCCACTTCAAAGGAGTTAATTTTGGAAAAGCAAGTCAGAGTAAATGTCACTCCGTAAAATAAAACAACAACAATTTTTTCTGATAGATGTCTCATTATTCTTAATGAAAATGTTAGGCTACTCAGTTAGTCATTAGACACCTTTTATTATTTTTGAGAGGGATTACATACTGCTTACTGTTCATTAAAAACATTATGGTTCAGAAATCCAGTGTTAAACAATGATTTTAACTAACAGTGTAAACAATCTCAGACCTATGAACCACCAGATTACACAGTATGAAATGTTTTTCATGTTAATAAAAACTTGTTTTTATAACTAGTTATTTCCTTCTAGCAAATAGTAACTTTTAACACTATAATATAAAGAATATACTTGCAAACCAAATGAAAACCAAAATACTTGTAAGAGGTTCTACTAAACATCAAGGCATACTTAAAGGCCTGAGTTACACTGGAACACTCTGGATAAAAAACTAAAAAAAATTCAAGTTTCTTTTATTGTGATTAAACTAATTTTACAATCTCATGTGCTTTCCTAGTATCATACAACAGGCTATACATCTAGCTCACTGTTCTAAACACTGAATCATAACAACTAAAGGAATATTCCTGATGCTATTACCTTTCCTCAATTAATCTGTTTAAAATTGTTTATCCATGTACCATTTCTTTTGCATAAAAGCTTGTTTCATTCATGTATGATATTTACTATACACTTTAAAAACCAAAAACCTTATGTACTGAAAACTAATGCAAAAATAAATGTACAAAAGGTTCTTGGTGCCCAAGAAACTTTCATGAAGCTTTGGCACTATACAAACTGGTCAAGGATACTACAATTTCCAATATTTCTCCATTTTTTTTTTCAAGCAGCGCACAGTAGCTTCTCAGAAGTTTTTGTTTCAAACACACTAATCTCTTTTTTTGCTTTAAAATGTAAGTGATAAAATATCCAATAAATGTCTGGCATTTAAAGAATAATAACTACTGACACTTTTTCATTATCCTTGCCACTGACATGGATTTTGTCATAAGCCTTGATACACATTAAGCATTTCATTGCAATGTTTGTTACAGAAATAATTTTAGGCAAAGTTAGCCAATGCTACATGCAATGTAAAGATTTTGAAATTTAAAAACCAGTGTAATTTGAATATAACAATGATCATTAAATGGACCCATTCAATTACATGAAAAAAATCTATGCTTTTGTTATTCTATATTGTGTTACTAGATGACTAACTTAATATGTAGTATTAGGGAACCCTAAAATTCAGGCAGATTATTGCTTATTCAACATCATCTTCCACCATTGCTGATCCTCCACTACTGCTTGCAAGTTTCTGGAAATATTACACAATAAAAGATTGAAATTAATAAAACAATTTTATTTAAAAAGTAGTTTTATATGCTGCTTTACACAAGGTTTGCATTTGAATTATTTGGTCAAAAGTATGGAAAATAACAATATTAAAAACTAAGTTATGTTTTTTATGGCAGTTTTTTCATTATATATGTAAAGTTACTCTCAGATTCCACATAATACTATACTGTTATTAGTGTGAAGTATAAGTTAAAAAGAAATGAGTTGGTATAGTATATATAATTTTACAACTGTATCTAAGTGTTAGTTTTACCTATTTTCAGAACCAAAAAGATCTACCATTTCATGTACAGCTTACAATGACGGGGCTTTATCTACTAAGATTCTACATTCAGTTTTTCTTAGATTAATTCTGATGTTAAAATATGGCTTCAGCATGTATCAGTATTTTACAAATTAATTAAACATTAAAAATACCTAAATGAAAAATGTTCTGATAAAATGTGTGAATTTCATACATCTCAGTATCTGATATAGTTGTTGAAGTAAAATAAATTTTTTTATCAGACAATAATTGAACAATTATTAGTTTAATGAAGTAAATGAACCAACAATAAAATATATGGTTGTTCACTGTGCAGGATCACTTTTATTATTATTATTATTGAGTTCCTTATTGATCAAAACCAAACTGGGAACTGGTGTCCAAATCATTTTTCAAAATCTGAAGAAAATTAATTTATACAAGACACTGAGTTTAACATTAATACACAACCACTTTTTTTATAATTTCTAAACTTGGTAAAGTGAAATTTAGGCCAGTGTTACCAGATTTATAACTTTTGACTTAGTTATAACTAAGTATCTTGTTGCTTGCTGAATGACCAATTAATGTTCTTTCAAAAGCCTTCTAATGTATTTCTGCTAGATACCTCTGCACACAGAATAGCATATTTTTCTCTTGAGATTGCAAGATCTGCCAAAACGACTTGCAAGCCACCAGCCTTGTGAAAACTCCCACCTAATCTCATGTGAAACCACGTGAACTTGCATCACTGCAGGATAGTATAATCATGCAGCAGAAACCTCCACCAATATGGGTGTGACACACCTCCATGTACAATGATTCCCCTACACTTGTGATCGAGAGTTCTCATTCTTTGAGGAGGTAATAAAGAAACTGTACCGAGAAAATGGGAAAAATGGGTGTAAACGTGTGAAGAGATATCTGTTGGAAATACATTTTCAGTTAAGGAAAATGTTAATTTCCAAAACTAATACTCACCTCTGAATACAGCTAGTTAGAATCCTATAAAAAGATGGTGGAAGGACCAGTTCAAAGATTACCTAGATGAGCTCCCTCCAAAAAAAACCCATGGAGTGTGACACCCAATGGCAAGGGCGTCATAGGGGAACACTCCTGGGAAACTGCATCTTGTCTCAATAAAGGTATACTCTTTGACTGTATAGAAAAACAAAAGAGGTAAACAGACCAGGTTTGTGTCATTAGATGGGTGAAATTGGTACATGGCCATCTGAGTAGTTGCATACAGGGTGTCAGATGGCCAACATGTGTAGTGAGATTGGGTCTTGTCCAGACTACTTTGTGTGCTCACCTCCTCCACCATAAAACTTGACAGATCAAAACCAGCTGTGGGAGAAGGGCACTTGTGATAAGTATCTGTGCTCACCTCCTCTACCTTCAGTGACTACAGGCCCCATGTCAATTGTGGGAGGAATGCACTGTATGGAATCATGTCAGTATGGATACTTATAAAACCTCTACTTCCTAATGAGTCACTATAGGCCCCTTGCCTGCTGTGAGAGTGATACATCACTGGTGTATACAGTGTAGTCACCTCAACTCTACCGTCAGTCTGTACGGGTCCCACGACAACTGCAGAAGCACTTTTTTTTTTCCTGTATGAGGTAGAATGGACTGAAAATAGTGTGTGTACCTTGACTCTACTGAACAGATTTTGGCTGCTGGAGGAGGATTAGGAAGTCATATATAAAAGACCAATAGGGTAATATGTAACACTGATTCACTTGATAATTGTGATGTATCATGGTTATACATGTGGGGTGACCTGCACTACACTAGTGTCACTCCAGTCCCACTTCTCACTGTAGAGGGACCCCTTGTTCTAGCCCCAGCAGTCAGGTCCCAATCAGTGAGGATTCTCCATTGTTCACCGTCCCAGTGGCTGGAAGCTGGTAAGTGGCAAGGATCTCCCATGAACCACTCAACTGCTCAAATTCATATTCCTAAACTTCAGGCTCAAAGTAAGGGAAGGGACTAATGCAGAGGGTCCTGGCTGCATCATAAACCCCACCACACGTTGGACAATGGCAGTCAAGTCTTCCACAGATAAAGAACTTCCTGCCAAATTACTAGTAATTTGTTCAGTGTAATATTTTCACTCACATTGGCAGAGGAAGGAGTTCACATTAAACTGTGAATTCATATTAAGTATGTTTAAACTCAATCACGTAAAAGTTGAAAATAAAAAAAGTAATAAATCTCAGCAAACTCAAACACGCCTATAAACAAAAATGCCATGGAATAGAAAGAGGTTTCACTAGCACAAATTTAGAGGACATCATTGCACACGGAAGTGTGTTGCACTCCTATTGGTGGAGAGTTCTACTGAATAATTACATCATCATGCAGTGGTGCAACTTCATGTGATTTCACGTGAGATTAGGTGGGAGTTTTCACAAGGTTGGTGGCTTGGAAATCTCCCTGGCAGATTGCACAAACTCAAGGGGAAAATATGATATCCTGTGTAAACAGTTGAATATTCATTTCAGAAGCTTAACTGTTATTTCATAAAAGATAAGTGTTAAATTTTGTCTCATATTCAATGCACAATTTCTTTTCTGCATAATTAGCAAATTTATAGTGCATTACTTCAAACTGTTGGCCTCATTGTTATAATTTTTTTGCTGAGCAAAAACATCGATGCTCTGAATTTATGTAATGATTTGTATTAAATAAAGACAATGTTAGTGAAAAACAGGTCTAAGTTGCACACAAAAACAAGTATTAACTAAGGCTTCTTTGGTTTACAATTATGACATTTTTTATTGTTACTTTAGACTTGTTAATAAGTTGTATTTTTACATATCCAAATTAAAGTCTTTCAAACTGTTTAAAAGGCATGGACAGAATGAGAACATTAATATTAATATATGAAATGTTATTTTTCTAATAAAACTAATTATGACTTAACTAATAACATTCAACCCAATATCTACAGGCATCACAATGCCAGTGTTATAGTACATTAAATGTGCAGTGGAAAAATGACAAGTTAGCATACAACTAAAACACATTTTGTTCCTCAAGTAACTGTTATCAACATATATATATATATATATATATATCAAACTTAAAAAACAATAACAGAATAATATAAGATGCTAGTCTAAAATATTTCATTAATTTTCTATTTACTTAAAAATTAAGACAGGGTTTAGTGGCATACACATTATTGTAAAAATAAAAATAATGAAACACTTTCATAAAAAAAATCTTTCTCACCTAAGTTATAAACAAAAAATTTCAAAAGAATGCTAACACATACCTGACTCACAACAGGTAACCTCTGTATAAGCAACTGGAACACTTGGGGTGGGAGAGTCTGCTGTAAAACTTGTAGAAGCTGTTGTGGTTGTCCACACACTGCAACTGCATTACTCAGATGTTCTACACCATTTTCGATGTCTCCTAAATTAGAGTAGATTTGATCAGATCTGTAATTTTTCTAATCTACAATGAAAACAAGTAATCTCTTGTTATCAAATGTAGAAATGATAATTTTCTAGAAAACCATGGGACAATAATAATGCACAACTAAAATACTTGAACTACCCTAGTTCACAAATGAATAACAAGAATATTAAAAAACAATACTTGTACATTTATTCTTATATAAGATGACTGTAATAACAATTTATATATTTTTTATCTCAATTTAAAATAAAGGAAAAGCAAACGTGTCTTTAATATGACTGCACTGGATAAATTAATGGAAAAGAAAAATACAGGCCTTCCAGTGGGCCACTGCAAAAAGAAGTGTTTCAAATGTTCCTCTTCTTAAAAATATAGAGCAAAAAGTGATTTCAAAAACCAAAATATGGAGTTAAATATATATAAATAATTTATATTTGACTGATAATAAATGTGAATTTTTATACCCATCTGTAAAATTTCCAAGAAGAAATACATAAATTTGTGTGTGCTGACAGAAATTTTACCATATAAATTTCTGATAAAGCTGATGAAGACTGAAATATTCTCCCACATCACAAATGTTACAAAATCATAACACTTCCATGGATCTTTATTGGATAATGATAGTAATATCATGACTAGAGTATTGAAAATTATGAAGCAAATTGTTTGGTTTAAAATATAGTTTTACTTTAAAATTTATAGGCTTTTTTGGCCTGTTTTGACCAAAACTAAACACAAAAAAAAGGGTTAGAATGAAAAAAAAGGTTTCTTTAAGTTTCACTGGAAGGCCTGGAAAACCTTTTATTTATTCATTCAATCTTCTACTTAACACCCACAACAATAGGTGAGACTTCTACTTTAGGTGTGGCTCCTCTCTAGCACTTTAATTTACTTTATGGTTTGTGCTAAATAAATTAGAAGTTTACACACATTATGAAATTGGAAATTTCTTGTGGACACCAGAATGAATAGACCTAAAAATGATCTAGAGAATATCTGTGGTTTAAATATCACAATGGGTAAAAGATGAAAGAAAGAGAAACCAGCATCTCTGATCATTGATCTCCTTTAAAATCCTGGGAAAAACATTGTCTGGATCTGGTGCTTTATCTACTTTTCATCTCTCAATCTTTCTAGTTACCACCAAGGAGTTACTATAAACCCTTATTTGACAAAAGAATGTCTGCTTATAACTGGCAACCTACTCGACCAACAGTCACCAAACCTGTTATGCACCTTTATGGTCATTCCAGGGAGTGACATAGGATTATGGCATTTGGATCTGCCCCCTTATGTCACTCCCACGGAAGCCTTATGTCTTTTGTCTCAATATAACTGGCAAACTGCTAGATTACTTATTAACTATCTCACGAGGGGCTTAGCTGATTCAACCTCCTAAATTGACCTATATAGTTTCCATATTATAACTTCTAATATATCTTGTGTATCTTCACAAAAGTTTGTAAGCTTTCAGTAACTATTGAGTCTTTTATAGACAAAAAATCAGAATTTTTAATGAAGTATTTTCACTAAATATATAGAGTTAAAGCATTGACTGCTCCAGGTGCAAAGTCGTGATTTTCATGTTAAGATTTAAAATACTTCTCTTTATCTGAAATTGTCAAATTGCATGTGTAATTTCTAAAACCTCCTAAATAAATTTCAAAATTTTTTTTCAAAATTTTTTTAAATATTTTATTTGTTATTTTCTTTACCTCATCTCTATACAAGGTTGGTCAATTTGACCGACTTTGTAACTACCATAAAAAAATATGAATTACTCCTTGTTCTTTCTAGAATGATTTCAGATTGCAACATAAAACTACATTTGTTTATCCTAAATAGCTTTACAGTTGTTACAGTATACATCAAATTTTATTGCCCTTTAACCCTTTGGAGACGGGTCATAGATGAAAGGTCATGTCATCTTGTTTGTTGACTCGCATTCAAAATTTTATTGAACTACTATTTCATGAATTTATGTCAATAAGTGTGGTATCAAACTGTAGATTATAATTCAAATTTTAAAACTATACATAACTCAATTTCTTAATTCAAAAGTAAATATAAAAAAACACAGATAAACATCAATTTTTGTGCATCACATGGCATGTTGAATGCAGCATTGGTTCAAATTAAATGTTTGTGAAGTCAAAATACTAAGTGTATAGTTTCATACGAATT